TATATTTTCTTAATTTCTTAGAATTTTTATCTTGATTCAGTTAAAAAATTTTCTTTAATTTCAATTAAAATTCTTTTTTTAAATTGACCTAATCATTTGATTTATTACAGAAATCTAATACTATTCTAGTATACATGGAAAATTCATCTGTTCATTTTTTTTTAATTTACTAATTTTTTAAAATTTTAAACTTTTGAAATTAAATTATTACATTTTTAATTTTTGAGGACTGATCATATAAATATTCTATTCTTACTTTAGCGGAGAGTTAGTGGATTTCGTTAATTGAAGGGTTAAAATCTTTAAACCTTTAAGCTTAGAGGTTAAAAACTTTATAGTATAAGGTGATGGGTTAAAAGTTTCAAATTTAATAAGGTAAGGGGTTAAATGTATGGTTTAGTCACTCAAAAATAGTGTATTCAAGAAAAAAAAAAAAAAAACCTTCTTTTTTTAAGGAAAAGGAAAATAAGAAGCATCAAAACAATATATATTCCGGTCAAATCGATGTAGGACAAACCACGATGCATATTTTCGTCTGCTTTCTTGTTCCTTTGGACTTCTGGGTGCCTATTAGGTCTATTATTTGCAAAGATTAAGAGAGTGTTTGGATTATATTCAACAATTAGTAATTAATAATTTACAGTGTCTAATATGTTCTATTAAAGTTAGCAGACTGCTCTTTACTCCGTCTAGGTCCATTAAGCAGAACTATGGGGTTAAAAGACACCCTGAATAAAAACAAAGACTTTAGATCAAGGGAGCACTAGCCTCAATGAGAGAGGGATAAGTTGCAGCTGAAACTGGAGATTAACTTTTGAACCTCGGGAGAGGTGTTGTTTCTAATTTGGCCGAACCACTCCCTCTTAACTCTTCTCAGCTGCTAGCCAAAACTTTTCCATCATTCACTGAGACCTATGCTCCCCCAAGTTTTATCACTATTCTCTTTTACATGGAGAGTTAACTCTCATAATTTAAATGCTTAATTCAATCCACAAACTAAAATAGTTTAAGAATTAGTCATTAAAGCAGTTTAATGACTTATCTTGGTTAAATCTATTAGGTTTATAATTTGCAAAGATTGTAAGAGTATATTTGGATTATTTATTATGAATTCAATATATATATATATATATGTATATGACAGTTGATAATTGTTATTATTTATAATTTATTGTAGATCAACGACATAGCTAGAAATTTTTTTTAAGGGGAAAAACCAAATTTTGACTAAAAAATAATATATTTGCATGTCAATTAAAAATTTAATAAAAGGAATTTTTTAAAATAAAAAACTATTTTAAATAAAATTTATTATATTTTAACAATGAACTAACTATGTTGATAATGTAGAAAGATGCTATCCATTGAAGGAAACAATGAACATATACAGTAGCAAATGTACTAATTAAAAAAAACAAAAATACTAATGAACAAACACTAATGATCTAGAAAAACTTTTATTAAATTAATCTTTATTTTTCCTCATCTTTCATATTACTTAATTTTCTCATCTTTCTCACTACCATAAAAAATAATCTTCAATATTTAAAAAACTTAAAAGTTAAAAATATGGAAAATAGTATAAAATGTCGTGAAAATTGGTTGTTACAACTTATTGTCCACAAACAAAAGTAATCATATAACCATTACATTTTTATTCATGCAAAAAATGGCTAGCAAATGATTTTTAATTGAAATGCATTATGGACATTCATTTGCAAATGGTCAACAATTATCTCCCATTATCTCCCATCCATTCACTATCTCTCGACCATTCAACAGATGATTTACTAGCACATTCATGCTTTTAACATTTCCAGCCAAAACTCTTTGTATTAATGAATAGTAGACTTTAATTTTGAAGTCACAATCTATTATGTATAAATAGCTACACATTATATGAAATAAAAGAAGAAGTTACAAATTTTTTTCTCTTGCTCATTCAATTTTTATCATCTTGATTATATCTACTTTCATATTATTTGATAACATAAAATAAATAACAATAAAAATAAAACATAATGGACTAAACTAATAATTCCACATCCTATTAACCAAGGAAGTGAATTTCGTATCGTATCGACCGGTTGGTACATATCGGTTTTTCATGATAACCGAAAGGTATAGTATGAAGATTCGTTTTAGTCAAAATTTGGTTAATTTGGTCAAAATTTGATGCATCGGTCGAGATTTTGGTGTATCGGTCGGTTTATCGAAATTTCAACCAGTACATTGGCAAATTAAAAAAAAAAAGAAGGGATTACCTAGCCCAAAACAACGTCGTTTTGGGCTAGGAGCTTCTTCATATCCTGCCATTGCAATTTCAGATACCGGTACATAGAAATTGTTTCGTATAATTCAATTCAAATTTAAAAAGAGTAAATTCTATTTTTGTCCTCAACTTTAATGTTATATAAATTTTCATCCTTTAACTTTTTTTTGTACTTTTTAGTCCATTTTCATTTTTTTTTTAGTCTTTCTATCAATTATTTTGTTAAATTTATCTAAATATACACATTTTTAGTCTCTTAATTTAAAGTGGATGGTCAAAAAATATGCACATATTAGAAATTGAGAGACTAAAAATGATCATTTAAACTTGTTTTCAATTTATAAGAATATGATAGTTTTAAATATTAGTATCTCTTATCTTATTTTAAAATTTGATATTTAATTTATAAAAATATATATTTATAGTGATAAATCCGAAACGACACGCAAAAAATTTTGATATCCGGGATGTACCATTCCAGTAGTAAAATCGATACACATACCGGTACGATATTGATTACTTTGCCCTTAACCCCACCACTGCCCTACCTAATACATAAACAAACAAACAAACATCACCAGTAATATTGAATAAGCCAAAAGACCCCACTTTTATCAATCATTGATCACATCATTGATCACATTTACCAAAATTATCAGTAATACCACAATACTGAAAGTGAAAATATCTTGTTCCAATCATGGAAATTAATTCTTGAATCTCAGAAAATTCACTAGTCTCTGCATTTTTGCATCATTTAATTTGCTCCAAGAATGAGTTCAGGAGCATACGATCAAATTGTCTTTCAATTCCTCCCTTTTTTTGGCGCATACGAAGATGGACGTGTAGAGAGATTCTTCGGTAGCGACGTGGTCCCGGCGTCAACCGACTCCGGTGACGGTGTGTCCTCTAAAAACGTCAAGATCGACCCAGAAATAGGGGTGTCAGCGCGTATTTTCATTCCGGCCTCCACGAAACCTGACCAAAAGCTTCCTCTGGTGGTTTATTTCCATGGCGGTTGCTTTTTTTTTTTTTTTTTTTATCAGCAAAAACAAATCTTATTATATAGAGCACAAGGGGTACTCCTGCCCATTTACACTAATCAAATATACACTATATCACAAAATATTAAAACATCAAATATAGCCATCATGTAAACCTAGCAGAACCTAAACAAAGAAGCATAAAAACAGCATTCAATTGCATCTGCAGCTTAGTCAAGCTTCCGGCACCCAAAATCCAACAGTAAAAACCACCAAATGCACATTGAACGAGCTTTACCCTTCCTGATCAGCACTCTTCTAGACTGCTTCCCGTTGCAGTTTCTTAGCACTCTTTAGATTCTTGCGATGTTGCACAATAGCGTCCCTGCACTCCCTTGGCCTTAACATCCAATCTGTATATGAAAACACACACCCTGGTTCATTGTTTTTGAGCCATAAAAAAGATTTTGCTAGAATAGACTCAAATAATTGCCCTTCAGTCATCACCTCTGTCCTAAACACATACATATTCCTCCAATACCAAATAAACCAAGCCGTAACGAGAAACATGAGAGCCCTTAAATCCCTCAAAACTCCTCCACTTATACCAAATACCATTGACTCCCCCAAACGAAACATATCATTTGGTAAAACACTCTGAATCTCCCACCACCCCAAAACCTTCATCCATACTAACCATACCCTTTTACACCCACATAAAATATGATGAAGTTGCTCCACCCCCTCATGACAAAACACGCAACCCATATCGCCCCCTAACAACACAATTCCTCTCTTACATAAATTCTCTTTAGTCGCTAACCTATTCAAAAACATTCTCCACCCAAAAACACTCACTTTAGAAGGAACATATCTATTCCAAATCACCTTAGCCCATTTCTCCTAAAAAAAACTAGAATTCGGTGTTAGAAACTCATATGCTGCCTTCACCAAATAACAACCATCACTACTATGCACCCATCGCCAAGAATCCTCCCTATCTATCCTCAACTTAAATCCATTGATCATTGCCCTAAAATGTTCTTCCTCTTCTGTTGCCCTCCCTCTACATCCACATCTCCACCTACAATCCCAAACCCAATTTTCTCCACGCCACACACCCATATCCTTCAGACTTCCTTCCGTCCTTATAGCCACCGCAAATAACCTAAGATATAACTCCTTCAAAGACTTATCCCCCACCCATTTGTCACTCCAAAAATCCACACAGCTTCCGTCCCCAACTTCCCACTTAAAACCCCTTACTAACATCTTCGATAATCGTTCCGATCTACTATCCAAACTCACAATATCCTTCCATATCCGAGACATATTCAAACACTCAGCGGAAATAACATCCCTCTCCCTCCTACCCCCATAATGTTTTCCCCAAATCACCCTCTTCCATAAGCTATCTAAACCATCTCCTAATCGAAACCACCATTTCCCCAACAATGCATCATTCTTTCCCTCTAAATTAACCACTCCTAAACCCCCCCCTCCCTTTCTCCACACACATACACTCCCAACTAACCCATGGAATTTTTTTAGCCAAACTCGCTCCTCCCCAAAAGAAATTCTGCTGAATTTTAATCAACTCACCAAGAACACCTTTAGGAATCTTAAATAAAGACAAATAAAAAATAGGGATAGCAGAGAGTACCGAGTTTATTAAGGTAATCCGGCCTCCATAGGACAGTAGTGGGCTTTTCCAAGTGGCAAGCTTTTGATGAAACCGATCTAGCACTGACTTCCAAAACTTTTTCCTCCCTGGAGTTCCTCCTACTGGCAAGCCCAAGTATGTAAAAGGCACCTTGCCCACCCCACAGTGTAACATGTCTCCAGCACCTTGTAACCAACCATCCGAAACATTAAACCCATACAAATGACTCTTGCTAAAATTTATCTTTAATCCAGAGATCAATTCAAACCAAAGCAGGATAGCTTTCACAACTCTAACATTTTCTGCATCAGCCTTCCCTATGAAAACTGTGTCATCTGCAAATTGTAATAACGACAACACCACCCCTCCTCTTCCAATCTCCACCCCTCTCAAAAGCCCTTCACACTCAGCTTTTTTGACCATCCCACACAGACCTTCTCCCACCAATAAGAACAGAAACGGAGACAAAGGATCACCTTGACGAAGGCCTTTGGATGCAGAGAATTCCTTCGTTGGACTTCCATTTATTAGCACCGAAATCCTTGCAGTTGAAAGACATTCTCGAATCCATTTTCTCCACTTATCCCCAAACCCCATACTATCCATCATCCAATCTAGAAAACCCCAATCCACACAATCATAAGCTTTCTCAAAATCAGCTTTAAACATGAAGCTTTGTTGCTTTCTTCTTTTTATCTCATGCACTACCTCATTCAAGATTAGCACGCTATCCACCAACTGCCTACCACCAACAAAAGCTGATTGAGAATCACTGATTATATCTGACATTACCATTTTCATCCGATTTGCCAGAACCTTCGTCAACAATTTATACAAACACCCCAACAAACTAATAGGTCTATACTCCGAAAACTGAAATGGATTCAATTTCTTAGGAATTAATGCAAGGAATGAAGAATTTAAACCTTTCACTAACCTCCCATGCTGATGCTTATTTATGGGCTCACCGTTCTGTTCT